AACAAGTGGAACTTGATGACTGGAACAGATGGGTCTTTTTTTTCTCTTCAAACTCTTTATACCTTGGTTAACATCTGTTTAAGTCTAAGACAAGAACACATTGTAGGAAGAGAGGCTACTACCTTTGCTAAAGATTTAACATTTCTGACTCTTCAGTAAGAGCTCCTAAGATACAAATGAGTCTTTCAAACAGTAAAACCAAACAACGGATTTCATAATCTAGTACAACCAAACAATGAATTTGACAGTCTTTGTATTTCACACCTTTGGTATGCTTCACAAAAAACCAAAAATCCCAGCATCTAAGTTCAAGATTTTAAGAATTCAGCTGATCCTCCTTTGGGCTGTAGCTGCCTTGACAAAGCACTTGTGTGGGGTGCAGGAGATAAAACTGGAAGCGTCTCCAAACTAAATTTTCCCCCACTGATAGCAAGGACAAGGGGAGAGAGAGGTGTTTTTCAACACTCCTCCATCAAACTCAAGAAAGAAGGGACGGATAGTCATAGCAATCCTGCTTCAAGTGGGCATTTCATGCAGACACTTGTCAACCTTAAGAACATACATAAGAACATAAGAACTGCCATTTCCTGGGTCAGACCACAAACCCATCTTGCCCAATATCCCGTGTCACACAGTGGCAGAGAGTGGATGCTGAAAGGGAGAGTGAACAGGGTTTAACCAGAGATTTTTCCACTGTTCCATTCTCCCTTGCAGCACCCAGCATTTAAGATCTAGGATCTTGGAAGTTCTGACTCAGAAGCTGTACCCTTAACTCACATGCTCAATAGCTACTGTGATGCACATTTCCTCCAAGAATTTGTCCAATCCCTTTTTGAACCTGACTAAACTGTCAGCTTCCACAGCATCTGGCAGCAATGAGTTCCACACTTCTAATACAAGCTGGGTGAAAAAGAGAACCCCAGGATTGGCTGTTTACAGAGACACACAGCTAGGGAATCTGCCTTAATCCTTTCTTTTTTGTGTTCTTGTGACAAGGTATTTAGCAGAATTTGCAGATTTTGTTGGAATCTGACAGGCCACACTGTGAGTACTTCTGCTATAGCCTCAAAACTTGTGACATCTGGGCTGTCAACTATGTGCCTTAGTGCCCATGCTCTGACCTGGTGCACATCTCCAAATGGGGAAACCTAGGGTTTCCCCATTTGCAGAGATATTCCTCAGGTCTGGGTGCAGCACCAAGATAGGCAACAGGGGAAACCCCTGCTGAGAAATTCACAGGGCATGCTTCTGCAAATGGGGGAACCTGGGCAGGTACTCCTGGGCTTTCAAGGGAATGATCTGGCATGCCCCCAGAAATGGGAATACCTGAGGCAGGCAGAATCGAGTCCCTTAGGCCCTGGAAGCCCCTGCCCAGGGCAGCTGGAGAATGAGAGCAGCTCCAGGCTGCCTGTATTTGCCCACCGTAAAGCAAACAGATGCAAAAACGTGACACAAAATCATATTGCAGACACAAATTTTGGGCATTTGTGGCACAAGGTGCACTGATATGTTTGACTGGCCTTTGTGTCTTCATAAAGCATTTTATGGTGACTCAGAGGTGACGTCTCTTTACAGCCTTAGGGTGCTACACTTAAAAAGTGGTATTTGTGCATGACATCCAGCACCCATGATTATACTCAACTCCAAAACAGCATCTACAGCTCTCATACTCAGCTTCCTGCCACATTCATACTTCTTGAAGCTATAGGGCAGCCCTTCTTCCTCATTTATGGGTGACAAATGAGAAGAAAACATTCTGGAGCAAAAGAATGAAAACGGTACTATTTGGGAGTATATACGTTGACCCTGGATACATTAAGCTTAACATCAGTAGGAATAGCATAAATAGGAAAACAGTGACAAAGGCAAACAATAACAATTTTAAGAAGTTTTTCTGTGCCCAAAATAGGCTTCTCACCAAAATGCACCAAATTAAAAGACTAGTCTGGGCATCAAGTGGGCTCAGTGTTACAGGGCCAAAAAGCTAAAAGTATATAAAAGCATATGTGGAAAGACAAGTGAACAGCAGGTACTTTTCTAAAAGACTATCATCCGGGTGGTCAGAAAACCCACAGAGGGTAATGGAAATCGGTAGCAGATTGTGGCTTAAAGATGCACAGCACATGAAAGAAGTAACATAGCTTTCAAACAGTACATGAAAATCTCTTACGCTTAGAGACAAGTACAAGTTGCTGAAATCATGCTGGAACTGAAGTACAAAACAAGGTAGCAAACAGAATGATCTGAATTTAAACATAATTAATTCTTCCCCCCCCCACCATTTAGGTCATTAAAATGTTGATTATGTAAAGTTTCTGACATTTCTAACAAAACAAGAAGAGTTAACATTTGTACTTCCATTGAGTCTAACGTGGCTAATGATCAGTGGGAAATATATGGAGGAAGGAGGTTGAATGCTTGCACTAAGAGATATATTCTTTCCAGCCTGTATTTGTAGCAGAGCAGCCTGATCTTTAACCTAGCCAGTACCCCCTGGAGTGCAGAGTGCTAATACTTCCATTCTGCCCTTCTTTCTGCAGAATCCAGCAGAATGCAAAAATTGAGGCCTTAATTAGGACAGCCTTTTAATGGGAAGGTAGTCAGAGGACACCTGTACCCAAGTGGAATCTACTGTACAAAAACCATTTAAAATCTCATGACCTTAGGAAAGCACAGATGTATCTTAAAATTAAAAAAAAATAAACTGAAGTGTTCACTCAAAGGTTATTTAACTACTAAGATCCAAGTTTAGCATGGTTTCCTTGTTCTCCCTGAAGAATTACTATCGATGTCATTACCTGGGGAAGATCAACACTCCTTAAATTCTGGGTGCATCTACATGAGATTTAATGCACAGTAAACTAATTCTGTGTGCTATCACAGAAAAAACTGTGCTAATGCGCATTAGAATTAATCTACTACACATTAAGTGTCAAAGACCATGCACCATTGCTACTGCGCAATTATGTAATACAGGTTTCCCTTGCTTTATGCTGTACATGCATTCCTGGAAAACAGCACATAACTCAAATTCACATAAAGGGAATCCACTTTACAATGTAACAAATAGGGATACGTTCCAAGACCTTGACTGTACTGACTCATGCGCTGCTCCCAGGGCAGCTGCACCTCCAGAAGCATGGGCACCAGCTGCCCTGAGCAGCAGCTGCGGGCGCTGCTGCCAGGCAACTTCAGGGTTCACAGCTCTTTGGGTGCTGTGCTGACAGGGCCAGACCAGCCCAGACCAGGCTGCAGGGGCTGGTGCTGTGGAGGAGTTGGGTGTGAGGCTGTCCCTGGGCTGGGGACTTCACAGTAGTGCCAACCTCATGCCGCCCCTCACATGAGGCACTGGCATGGGGGTGTGGGGACCCTCCCCCAACACCCCTGGACAAGCTGTCCAGGCTCCGATTGTCCCACCACCTGGCCCAGTCAGGGTCCCACTCACTGCAGCCCCTGCCCCTGCCTGTGCCCCACGCCCTCCCTTACCATGGAGGCCTTGATCTTTAGGCCCCCCCCAACCCTCTCCCCCACAGACTTACCTGCCGGGAAGAGGCAGGGTGCGTGAGCCCACAGTGCATCGCACAAAGCAGCTGACTGTGGGCTTCCACCACACCAATCACATAAGAGTTAATTTACCTCGTATATAACAAATTTTTGGTATAAAAAGGCTCATCACATAAGAGCGAATTCGTGCATACAGAACCCGCATAAAGCGAGGGGAACCTATACCTATTAAAAGTACTAAATGTAATGTGCAGTAGCAATGGAACATTAATGCATGTGTAGACATGTCCTTTTAGGGCTTAAAAGTAAACCAGGAACTCGAATCCTTATAGTTAAAAACAAACAAACAAACAAACAAACCTGCACTATCTTCAGATTAATTTTCAAAATGCATCTGCCATTTGAAGCTACATGTTTACTCTATAAGAAGAACTATTTAAACAAAAACAAATATACAAATCTGTTTATATGCAAGGCAAACCACATGGTAAAAAACAAACTGAGACTGGAGAACACAATAGTGAAAATGTCACATGATAAAATGGTACACATCAATTTTTGTTTCCTTAAAAAAAAGAAAGCATCTGTCTAGGTAAAAACTCTGGAATGCAAGTAGCCAGTTTTTATATTTGCTCTCTAAACTGGGTTCCAAAAACAAATCTGGAAAAAAGGTGTTCATGAATTGCTCTATTTATAAAATAATACTTTAAAAAAAAATACAGAAAATAGAACCCCACCAATAAATACTACATACGCAGATGCCTTAGCACCTCTATGTCATGGAGTATACACCTGCATGAATATTTAGCCAGATATTTGAATTTATAATGAAGCAGTCAACCACTTTTACAAAAAGGAGTTAGCAGCAAATTGAGACTCATTACAAAAATAGAGTTCTGTCCTGAATGCTAATACATGCTACTGATACTTTTAGAAAGTAGCATTTCCCAGGTTTCATCTAAACAAGCATAATACATCTGCTACAGGGAGATCTTAACAGGTCTTGATAAAACCTTATTGCTAAAAATTTTAAATTATCAGCCAGCTTTTGTAATGGAGGCACAAGCACAGCTTCCTGTCTAGCACAGTTTTTTCTGCTCTTATTCTAATGATACACATTCAATTACTACAGAAAAGAAAAGAATCAAATCAGAAACATCTGTAGTTTGCCATATAATTACTGGATCTTCCCCATGGAGACTGACCTTTGTAACACCGATACTAAGACCTGAAAGGCTAAATGACAGAGGATATTCACATGGTTTAAATGTATAACATGATTATAAGGAATTAAATAGGCACTGTTATTTTCCATCTTGGTTTATGTTAACGTAAGCTTGTACTTTATGATCTTATATTTAATCTTTGTGCTCAGTATGTAGTAGCTGAATTTACTCACTATTAGTGGGATTCACAAACCACTAAAATGCAATGTTTTGATTATATAATAAAGTCGAATACTGTATTTGAGGTTATTATGCAGCCATTACTTTTACCTGTAATAGGAATCTTTTCTACCAAGCTTTCTTCCTTGCTCTCATCTTCACACCAGCTTGTGATTTCTGTATGTGAACAGACAATAATGAAACATATTTCAAAGTCACAATGATCAGACTGGTTTGTTTTCTTTTAAGCCCTATTCCCTTTAATATTTCACTTTTGTTATCTCTTGTTTATTGATCTAAACTGTCCATTACAGTTCTTAAAAGAGGAGCCTACTGTGAACTTTAGTTATATATGATGTTACTGTGTCTCTGTGCAGCTCCAGAGAAACCAGTGACCTAACCAAATATCTTAAATTGTTTAAGTCCCAATGAGATTTAACAAACAAAAAATACAAACAAATTGTGACTCTATATCTTGCTTAATAGTTTGACAGCAATATTATAGATCATGCCAAGCCTGAAAAATTAATTAGTTTAAATCAAAGTATTTATCTCCCTTGGGGACAAAAGTAGCATGAATTTAGGAGACCTAAATCAGTTTGTTTACAGTTATCTACTGTGTGTAGAGCATGCATCCTAATTGCCTGTCCCTTCTTAGACTCTGACATAAAAAATGTTCTGAAAGCATACTGAGAAAGTTACCATCTTCTAGTCATGGAAATGGGATAACTTCTGGTACTTACTTTACATAACAAAATTAACCTGATTTTCCCCAAACATATCAACTTTCTAATTTTGGAAATATAATGCATGACCTCCTTGGTATGAATTTTTTACTTTCAAAAATAAAAACCAAAAGTGTATTTTACCCATGTATATACAGAATACTTAATTTTTACAGGGCATATGTATGTTTTACAAATGATAGGTGAATATTTTCTTTATATACATATTTATTTATATTTATGATGGCTATTAAGTATATGCAAATGCAGAAGTACACACACACAATCTGTGTACAAATACACACACACACACTTAATAGTCACCATTGTGCTTACATTTCCAATTTACATTTAAAACAGAAAAAAACCCAGAAACCTAATCATTATAAGAAACATTCATTTTTTAAAAAAATGAACAGCAAAAATAATTACTCCTAGTGGATGTTTGAGAAGGTTCTATTGCTCATAAAAAAAATTTAAAATATATGTTTTAAACCTGAGTTGCATACATAGCTTCCTACAGACTGCCATACTACATTTTATAAAATATAACTGGAGACAGAAAATGACAATAACTATGAATGCATTTTTTCTTGTGGACAGACCTTTTAACATTAGTTACCTTGCTCCCTTGTACCAGTGTTGTCAAGCCACAGAGCATGTTTTGCTTGCTTTATTTCACCATTGTCATTCTGAATTGATGGCAAGCTGTAAGATGATTCATTACTATGAATAGATGACCTATCTTCACACTCTTCTGGAAAGATCTCTCTCAATAACGGTGTAGCCTACAGCATTAAAAAATACAAATAAAAATCACTGCAGCCCTATTATCTTTAGTCTCAGAGCAAGAATATTTTCACCAAAGACTGAGTTAATTTTAACTTAACAATGTAATCTTTTCCCAGGATACTGGCTGCTAGATACCGAATTACCTCCAAATAAAATTAGTTAGCTTACTTCATAGTTTAATTAAATTGTGAATGGGAACTTACAAGAATTTTTTAGCAATACATTTTCCAGAAATCATCTGTTATTTTCTTACCTCTGAGTTACCTATCAGAAAGAAAATGCAATATGATATCTTATATGCTGTCAATAAACAAAATGGCTTTTAAAGTATTTCCCCACCTCCACTTTGGATGGCAAGGCCATTCATAGGATGAGTTAACTTGAATGATTACTGATTAAAATCATGCACAACTCAGAGCACTTGGAATTGAACAGCCTTACCCAAAAGCCCACTGAAGTTAACAGGATTCTTCCCACTAATTTCAACTGGGTTTTGGACCAGGCTCAAATACATAGCTCTAATAGTCTAATTCATGGGTCTATAACCTAGAAACCTTTGTGACGCATCAAATCCAGGCCGCAAAATTATAAGATTCAGTCTGCAGTGGCATGGGGGATCAGCAGCACACAGCTCAACCTGGCACATCTCCCTTCTCCACACTGGGAGGTGCTGCAGACCCCCTAGGCAGCACCCCCTTCTGCAGCCCTTCTTGCTCTCTCCCTCACACTAGCCCTCCACCACCCACAAGCATAGCGGGAGCTGCTTACCATTGCCAGTGGGGGCAGGAGTCTGGGTTGCAAGCAACTAGCCCCATACTCTAAAAGACTGCCTTCCCCTGGTCTAATTATTCAATAAATGAAGCAACCTTTGAGGACCTAGAATAGTGTCTCAGGGAAATAATCCTATGATTATATTATATATTTACTTGAAAGAATACAATGGCTCCCACTGGAAGTACACAGGGCTCATAGGTAAATATTATTCACATACTTTTTTTAAATCCCTTATTTATCCAAGACTAGAATGGTAGTTTTTGAGTTTTAAAGGAAATCGCTTTCACTGTTTTTTTTAATTAACCTCATCTACAGGAATCCTATACATAAAACCAATCAAAACGAGCCAACACACACACACACACACACACACACACACACTCTAAGTTAACCCTTTCTTTAAACATTAAAATATGTATTATAGTCTGGGCTGTGAAACATTTTTATTGTTGAAAAGATAGACTCGTTCCCGATTGGAAGTTCATCCCTTGTGTCAGAAGCAATTCATCAGATACAATACATGAGTGCTACTTGCAATCACTTTACACTCCTACAAGCAGGCATATAACATTACGCACATGTGAAAGTATTAAATGAGAATTAAACACTGTGTTTATAGTTCGGAATCAAGATAAAAGGGGATGAGTTCCCATCAGGTATCTTTCAATAAGACCTCTGAGGGTACTAAGGGCTGAAACTTGGACCACCAAGAAACAGCCTGACAGACCTGACAGTTGTTGAGGGCCACAAGGGTAGCCCTGCCCCTTGACAGATGCCCCGCCCCCTGGTTGCCATCTTGGGACTGGAAGTCCCACCCCCTAACCCCTGACCTTTGGCACCAGAAGTCCCTCCCCTTACCTTCCAAAGTACTCCTTTAGGGAGGGAAGGGTTGCCATCTTGGAACCAGAAAAAAAACAAATCATATACAGTAAAGCTGAGTTATCCAGCACCTTGCAAGCCAGCATGTTCTGTTACCTGGCATACCAGCTTGTAAGGGAAAAGTAAAACTGGAAGTGCCCACCGTGGCACTTCCGGTTTTGCGGAGCCCCCATAGGCTGGGGGAAACCAGCCTGCGCTGCCAAGTCCCCATGGCCCAAGGCATAGGAGCCTGCGCAGGTCCCCCCTCCCTGTCCCTTGGGGCCCACAGGGCCTGCAGGAGGGGCAGCCTGAACAGGCGAAGACCTACTGTAACATATTTTAATTTTATTACAAAAAATATTTTGCTGTGATTTGTTTGCATAGTATATATAGAGATGATTGCATCATAACTCAAAAATGTGGGGTGTGGTTGGGGATTGGTGTGTGAGTATGTGTCATGGGGGCACTCGGGTGCCCCGTGCCTAAGTAGGGATTAGGGCCCCTGCTAATTGCCAGGACAGCTCAGGTGCTGGTTGCTGGAGCAACCAGGTTGGTCAGGTGACCAGAAGGGGGCAGGGCCTGGCCCTTATAAACAGCCAGGCCGGAGCCTAGCTGGTAGTTCCCCTCTGGCAGCCTGAGGTGTAGGAGCTCTGCAGGAGAGCTAAGCTGAGCAGTGTAGCCGGAGCACCCAGAGGGCTGCATTATGGTAAGGGTGGAGAGAATCCTGACCGGGAGGCTTTGGCAAGAGAGCCTGGTGGGGCGGGACTTTATGTTGTAGCTGGTAGGCTTATTGTTTTGTTACAGCTGGTTGGCTTATGGTTCCGTTGTGTATATCACCGGAGGACTGGGTGAGGCTGTAGTGGTGTGAGGAGGCCTCACAGGAGATCCCCCAGTAGTCTGGGGGGTTCCTGGATGCCCTGTTTGGGGCACAGAGCAGTGCCTGGGAGGCAAGGCGGCTTGGCACCGGTGTGGGGTGGTGTGTGGGGTTGAGACCACAGCCCGAGGGGGTATTCTGCCCAGTTGGGTGAAGGACCCCGAGAAGGGTCAGGGGGCCAGGCACAGCTGTGTGCCACCTGAGCCCCAGCGAAGGGCGAGAGGCGCGGACACAGGCCCCAGCGAAGGGCGAGAGGCGCGGACACAGGCCCCAGCGAAGGGC